ACCCAGTGCCTCACGCATGCTAGGCAAGAGCGCTACCACTTGAGCCACATCCCCAGCCCATTCTTTTTTTTTTTTTATATTTAGTTACTCAAAACTGTTGAAATGAAGAAATGAATAATGATAATAAGTAATACCTAATCTTACAGAGTTAGGAGGATTAAATGGTCAGTCACATGAGGATTAAATGGTCACATGTATGAAGTTTTTGGCACAGTACATGGTACCTGGTAAACATTTAATTAGTGCTAACAGTACCATGCTGGTAATGATCTCTATCATCAAGTCTTTTCCTGCTAGATAAATAGGGAAGATAATTATTAACAACTAACTTTAACAGAAGGCTGAATTGTAAAGAGCAAAGAATTTCTGTAAAGGAGCAAAGAATTTCAGTTAGAAAATCAAGGAGGAATCCTCTCCTTTAAACATTGAAGTATGAATAGAATCTCCTTAAAGAGAAGGCAGGATTCTAGATTGAGAGGTTACCGGAGCAGAAAGCACAGAGCTGAGAAAGTGTGTGTGATGGATCCTTAGAAGTCAGACTGCACAGGCTTTGATAACGATGATGGGAAGCTTGTACTTTACTCCAAAGGCTTTGGGTGATCTTTTCAGGTCTTTGAACTGAGGCCTCATTTTGCAGTCATACAGTAAATTAAATGTGATTATTGTGTATAGATGATTAGTGGTTCCTGTAAATTTAAAACTTTGATAGAAATGGCTAATGGAAAGTATACAGCAGGAGAAAATGATGATTGTAATCCAGGGTGTGAAATGGAAATCCTGGGAAGATTATGCAAAAATTAGTTTTTCAGAGTAAGCCCTAGGAAACTTTTGAAAATATATTTGGAACTTTTCATACTTAGAGGATTAAGCAATTTATTAACCTCTCTAAAAGAATCTTAATCTCTAGATTGGGAGAAAGGATTGAGTTGGTATGTGTATGGAAAAGGAGCTGGGCCCTTCTGGCCGTCTGCCTGTGTAGCTGAAGATGAACCACCTCAGGAGAATGGACTGGCTTTCAGCCTGAAGGGAGAGCTGTAAGCACATTGTGAAACTGAGCACTTGGTTTCTGTTTTTAAGTCTCTGAAGAGAATTCTCTGACAAAAGGAATTAGCTTTGGGGGATGGATCCGAAGTGCCTAGATTTCAGCATTGCCGACACTTTCTCTTTGATATGAAATGATTGATCTATCCCTTAAGGTTATCTTGTATTTTTACTGATTTCTACTATTGCTTATGGAGATTTTGTGTTTCTAATACTTAAGACTCCAAATAATTCAAGCCTCGGTTTAGAGAAGTTGTTAAGAAGGGGGCTTGATTAGGAAATAGAGACTGGTTGGCTGTTGGTAAAGCCAGAATTTAAGCTCTGAAGAGTAGAGTTATTGGCTGGATGGAGTGACTAGTGATTTATTATTTTATTTTTTGGCTCTGACCTCTTCTAATTATACAAATGATCTGTCAGCTAGACTAAACTAGCAACAGGGGTGTATGTTTGTAATAACTGCTGATTTTCTCTTGGTATGAGATGGACTTTCTTTTAAAATATTTTTTTAGCTCTTGATAATAGACCTTTATTTAATTTATTTATTTATATATGGTGCTGAGAATTGAAGCCTTTTCCTCACACATACCAGTCAAGTGCTCTACCACCAAGCCACAACCCCAGCTCTGAGATGGACTTTTCATGTTTACCAGAATCCTGCAGAACAAAAGCAAGCTACTACTTAGTTTACATTCTAGGAAATACTGATGTTCTTTTGTATGAGCATAGCACTTATATGACATTTATGCTTTTCAAAAAAAAATTCATATCTGCTCTCATTTTATACAACTATTCTGCAAACGAGATAGGGCAGGACTAATTCCTATTTGACAGGGGATGCTGAGGCATAAATGAAAGATGGGGTTACAGTTGCTGGGTCAACAAATAAATGACTGGGACAACCTGTCTTAATTTCATTTTTGAGCTGTCGCTTTGGAACATTATATAGGAGTGAAAAAGCTGAATGCTGTCTCTCTTTGTTGTTACTTTTTAGCGGCGTCTTCGGCATCTTAGAAACATTGCGGCCCGGAACATTGTTAATAGAAATGGCCATCAACTGCTTGATACCTACTTCACACTTCACTTGTGTAATACTGAAAAAATATATAAAGGTAAGGGAATTTGTGGACTCATCGATTGTTACATCTCATTTTTATTCTTTTGTAGCACAAGTGATTTTTTTAGTGCCTCCAGTTATTGCTGCTTATTGGAAAGTTCAGTTGTCATGCTGTCATGTTGAACAATTATACATATTAAAGAAGCGTGGCTAATAGTTCTTTCTGGTAACTTTCTGATAGTTTGTCATTTTTTTTTATGAATGTAGCTGTTAATATTCCAGTAGCTGCATTTAAAATGGAGTATGTTATTCCACTAAACATTTTTTTTGCTCTTATGGTAAAATAGAAATCTAGTTTGTGTCTTCTTTTTTTGGTGATGCTGGGGATTGCACCGATTGCACCCCGGGCCTTGTGCAGTCTAGGTAAGCACTCTACCATCTGAGCTATATATATCCCCAGCCCCATGTTTGTGTCTTCTTATGCCTGTAATTTCTTCTGTAATGGGGTCCTTTTCAGAAGAGTGTCATATTTCTTCTCTTTCATGTATTATATTATGGATTCTTCCGTAAGTGACATTTCTAAGAATAGATGAAATATTTAATTCAAAATCACAATCATCTTTGGAACACAGGTTGAAACAAAAGACACTTGTATAAAACCAGTTGACTTAAGTGGGATGGTGTAAGAAAAGAAGCATGGTAAAATAATGGGAATAGCAGATTAGGACTGAAAAATACATTAACACTAGCTATAGATCAGCAACTTTATGACTTTGGATGAAGATCATATTTTTTTATTTTTTATTTTTGGTGGTTTGTTTTGGTTTTTGAGGCTCTGACTGGTCTCAAATTTATGGACTCTAAGTGATCATCCTACCTCAGCTTTCCAAGTAGCCAGGACTACAAACATGTGTCTTCCTTACGTTGGCTCAAGATCATGGTTTCTTGAACCTTATTTTTCCTACCTGCAAAGTAAAGAAAATGATGTCTTATGAGGTAGGCAAGAGAGATTTGTATGAAGATCAATAGAGATAATGTAATAATGTGTGGTAAGATGTGATTAAAGATTCATTTATGTTAACAAAAGGTGACATTATAGCCAGTGCGGTGGTGAATGCCCTGTAATCCCAGCTGCTTGGGAGGCTGAGGTAGGAGCATCATGAGTACACAGCCAGCCTCTGCAAAAGCGAGGCCCTAAGCAACTCAGTGAGACTCTGTCTTTAAATAAAATACAAAATAAGGCTGGGGTTGAGTGCCCTTGAGTTCCATCCCTGGTACCAAAATTAAAAATGTGACATTATTTTAATAAGTGATAATAAGGATCTGTTTGAATCTTGTCATATGGCAAGGTGAAAAAATTGAGACATTTTATCTTTTTAGTTTTGAAAATTACTAAGGCATCCTTATTAAAGGAATAATTGTTGATATATATGTATATATATAATATATTATATATACATATAATACACGCACACACATACATATATATTTTGGCCACTGCTGGAATGTCAAGCTCAGGGGCTCATGCATGCTATGCAGGATAACAATTTTTATCTTTTTTTTTTTTTTTTTTTAGTTTTAGAGATTGAGCCAAGGCCTTGCATGTACAAGGCAAGCACTCTACCACCGAGCTACATCCCCAGCCCATCTCTCTTTTTAAAAATATCTATATATGCTTATTAAAAATTTCAATCACAAAATGTACAGTGGCATAGGCCTGAAATACCAGCAACTTGGAAGTCTGAGGCAGGAGGATCACAAAGTCAAGGCCAATCTCAGCAATTTAGTGAGAGCCTATCTCAAAATAAAAAAATACAAAAAAGGATTGGGAATGAAGGTTAGAGGTAAAATACCCCTGGGTTCAACCCCTAGTGTCAAAAGATGAAAAAAAAAAAAAAGAAATGTATAGTGTAAAAACTCCCTCATAGTAGTAAATAGCATTAACATAATTTTTTAAGGATGGAAAGAAAGGACTCTAAATGGTAATATTCTCATATAATTTGATTTTATTTTTATTTTTTATTCTAACTATTAAAGCTAACTGTAACAAATACCGAAAGACTCATGGTTTCACATAATAAATTTCTTATACTAATGCCAGTGCAGGTGTTCTTATCAGTTCTTCTCTAGTTGCAAGTTCTTTCTATTTCCACATGTTTCTCTCCTTAGTATATGGCATCTGGCATAGAAAGAGAGAGGATTGCTTGTGGAAGATTTTTTTTTAAAATAAATGTTTTTTAAATTGTGAATGGACACAATACCTTTATTTTATTTTAGTATTATTTTTAGATACATGCATATATATTTTAGTTGTACCTTTGTTTTACTAATTTCTTTTTATGAAGTGCTAAGGATTGAACCTAGTGTCTTCCACATGCCAGGTGAGCACTCTACCACTGAGCTACAACCCTAGCCCGTGGGAGAGTTTTAAGTGGAAATGGACCATATCAATTCCATTACATTTTATCTGCCATAAATGAGATGAATTGTTCTTTTTATTTTCTATTCATTTTTTGTTCATCATCTTTTTTAAATGAAAAGGGAGCTGGGAAATGTAATCTTCCTATGTGTTCAAAAGGGAATTGTAACAGTTTGGTCAATATGTGGTTTAAAGTGAAGGCATTTTTGTAGACCTTAGTACATTTAGTTAGCTGCTCACTAATTGGTTCTGTCACTAGTGATATAAGACAGTATTGGAGTATTTTTAATTTTTGATTTTTTTTGTGTAGTCAGTCCTTGCTTATGCTGTTAAAACTGTGTCCTTGTTCCACTTTTACTTCTGATACTAGTAATTAATAGTACTAAGCACATTTTAGGAATTTGGAAAATGATAGCAATTATTAAATTTGTAATATTAATCATAATAGTTTCTAAAAAGAGAGTAGTCATGGGACTGGTTGACCATGATGTAAAGATGAAAGCAAAATGACTTTTTTTTCCTCTTTTGGCTTGGAGTACATCTTGAACTTACATGTTATTATAGGCTGTTTTTTGAAGTTATCTCAACGAAATGATCATGAACATGTTTAGGGAACAGGTGGTGAAAAAATCACAGGGAATTCCAAGGCCTCGTAATAGTACTGAATCTTTCACTCACTTGGAAGCCTTATGAGCCTCACTTAATTTATCCTTAAAATGAGAGAACTGAGGATTTCTGTGACTTCCTTCTGCTCTGAAATCTCATAGTTGAATGAAATCTCTTCATAAGTTTTGTTGGGCTTTGTAAAGCTTTCTCTCAGTAATCCTAGTGATTTTTTTTTTTTTTTTGTACCAGGGATTGAGCCCAGAGGCACTGTCTGAGCCACATTCTCCAGCCCTTTTTATGTTTTATTTAGAGACAAGGTCTTGCTGAGTTGCTTAGGGCCTTGCTAAATTGCTGAGGCTGGCTTTGAACTCTCTGTTCTCTTGCCTCATCCTCCCGAGCTGCTGAGATTACAGGCATGTGCCACCATGCTTGGCAGGTCACCTTATTTTATTGGACCTGTCATGACAAACATGAATATTTCATGATCATTATATGGTCCTTGATGTAAAATGACTATGATGAAAGGTCAGTTGGCTCTTTTCACTGAACTACTTGCACTACCTATTTAGTGGTATCATTTCTTAGTTTTACAAGAAATTTTTTTATTGGAAGAATATCTGAAATGCTGGTTTCTAAGTATTCTTTTATTTTAGCAGGTCTCAAGAATATATGTGTGAAATTTTTTGACTTTTGATATCTTTTTAGTGCTGGTAGGAGATTTTCGGTTAAGGTAGTTCCCATCAAATACCAATTGTTATATCCCCATAGAATAAAGCCTGTTGTATGGATGGGGAACTAGGTTCTAATTTTGTTTCCCTCATAAAGTTGAAATTTTTATAACATCAAATTTGTTTTTCATTCAGTTATTTTCTCAGTTGAAATATCTGTGTCTGTCTTCTCCTGGAATACCAACTAGCTGCAATACATCTGAAGAAGAACTCAATACAATCTAATTTGATGATCTCATCCAAGTTTCATATTTAAATATGATCTATTGACCTTTCCTCTGAACTCATACTCCTATATCCAGTTGTACAACCCCCTTTGAAGTCTAGTAGTAACTTAACCTTGGTGTCACCTTTCCATTGCTGTGACCAAATACCTGAGATAAACCACTTAAAGGAGGAAAGATTTATTTTTGCTTATGTTTCAGAGATTTCAATTCATAGTTGGCTTTATTTCTGTGAACTTGTGGTAAGGCAGAACATCATGGTCAGGAGAGAATGTTGGAACAATGTTCTTCACTCTGTGATGGCCAAGATGCAGAGGTGGATGTGGAGGGGTGGGGAGGCAAGATGTAATTCCCAGTGACCTTCAGCTAGGTCCCACCTCCTCCAGTTTCCACCATCTCCCAGTAGTCTTTTCAACTATAAATTCATCAGTGGACTAATTCATTGAAGAGGTCAGAGCCCTCAATCACTTCCCAAAAGCCCCACCTCTGAACATTGCTGCATTGGTCACCAACCCTTCAACACATGAGCCTTTGGGGGGGCATTCCGGATCCAAACTGTAACAAGTGGTATGTTCAGAAATGAATTTCTGATGTTCTAATCCTGAATTCATTCTTCCATTACAAAAATGGCAACTCCATTTCCTTGCTAAAAACCTTGGAATCATCCTGGATTGTCATCTTTCTGTTATATCCCACATCCAATTTGTTAACAAGTACTTTTTGCTGTTATTATTAATATGTTGCCATAATCAGATCGATTCTTGCAATCTCCAAACCATCATCTCTTGCCTGAATTGCTGAAGTGTTCTTGTAACAGGTTTGTCTGTCTGTGTCTCCCCCTCAGTCTCTTCTCAACTAAGATTCTATTAAAATGAAAATCAGATTGTGATATTCTCCTCAAATTCCTCCAGTGGCTTCCTCCTTCATTCAGAATAAAAGCCAAAAACTCGTGTAGTTTCCTTGAAGGCTCATGATTTGACCCTCTGCTGCCTCTCGTGTTCCTCTCCTGTCCTCCTGACCTTGCTGTTTATTTGCCCCAAGCTCTTTCCTCCAGGTAGCCACATTACTAGCCTTTCACCTTTCTGCAGGTCTTTATTCCTCTTGTTTCTCAGAGAAATTCCTTGATCACCCACTAACCCTCTCGCAGATTGTGACTATCTTGCCTGTCTTTTGTGCTTTATTTTTGTCCACAGTACTTACGCTCATCCAGCATACAGTATGTTCAGTTATTTGGTAACATATGGCTCCTCCACTAGAATGTAAACTCCACGAGAGCAGAAATTTTAAAGTTTACCTTAGCTCACTGTTGTGTTCCTAAAACCTGGAACAATACTTGGCATGTGCTAATACATATCTTTTTTTTTCTAAATTTAATTTTTGAATAGATAATTCAGTCTGTGGTTCAAAATATATACAAAGGTTTAAATTAAAGCCTCCCTTTCATGTGTCTCCCATCATCCTAGTTTTCCACCTCACCCTGATAACCATTCTTACTCATTTTTGTTCATCTTTCCTGAGATTCTTTAGGGCAAATACAAGTAAAAATAGGAGTGTTCTTATTCTTTTCTCCTCTCTTGTTCACACACAGATACCACCCTACTTACTCCACTTAATGTATCTTAAATGGCTTTTTCCATGTTGGTTCAAAGACCCTCCCTAATTTTTTCCTTACATAATTTTACACTGAATATGTGTACCATAATTTATGTATCTGGCTCCTGTTCTTGGGCATTTAGGCTGTTTCAGTCTTTTGATATAGTATTGCATCAAACAACTTTGTAAGTACACTGTTTTGTTTGTGTGATAGTATACCTGTAGGGTAAATTTCAAGAAGTGCACTTACTGGGACAAAAAGATTGTGCACTTTGTTTTGTTAGCTACTGCAAGATTGCCTTCATGTGAATTTCTTCTTGCGTGAGTGCCTTTGTTTCCATAGCCTCACAAATGGACTATGCAAATTTTTGAATTTTTGCCAGTCTGATAGGTGAAAAATAGTTTTGCAGTATAGTTTAAGCTTGTATTTTTCCTGTTATGAGTGAGTTTGATGCACTAATAAGCATTTGTTAAATGGATTGCATGTAGTATGACAGCCCAAACTTGCCATTTTAGCCATGCTTTGCCATCTCTTGATTCTGTAACTGTTAAAAGTTACTGTAACTTTTGGGATGTTTTGAATAATGCTATACAAAACAATCTTTTTAAAGGTGTTTTTCCTAAAACACATGAATGTATGAGACAAACCTTTGGAAGTAAAATTGCAAGATCAAAGACCAATTCATTATTTTAAAACTTATGTCTAAGCATAATCTGTGAAATTGTTTAATCAGTAAAACATATTTCCCAAGTGTCTCCTCTGTGCCAGGAGTGGTTTAACATGCTTAGGAAAGAGTAGATGTACAGAACAAGTGCTGGGGCTCATGGGCTTATGGTTATGGGTTGAATATGTGACACATAAATTTCAACATATTAGGGAAAAAATTTGTCTATGTATCACCTCAGATCATCTCAAGTACCAGTAGGACGTACATCACACTGGGGAAACAATATAAGGATGCGGGAGTCCTTATGGGTTCTGCCGTGGCAGAGAAGCACTGGGATTACTTGGGCAGAGTAAGCAGAGGGAACATGGAGCATTGTTGGGTCAGAAACCTAAGGTATTTTGATGTTGTCTTTGGGTATTGTAACACCAACATATATGAAGGTTTGTAGGATCAAGAATTTTTGATGTTTTTAGAGGACCTTTGATTATTACTCTAATTCTCTGTTTGTCTAGTCAAGAAGTTGACTAAGGAAGTTAAAGAGACAGAATGTTAGTGACAGAGGTGGAGATTGAGTTTAGTTTACCTGGTTGCTAGGTCAGTATTTATTCCACAAGACTACAGTGAATAATCATAAGAGATTTTTTTCTTTTTCTTTTTTAAAGTACCCAGGATTGAACTTAGGGGTATTTAGCCACTGAGTCCCACCCCCAGCCCTTTTAAAAAAAATTTTAATATTTATTTATTTATTTTAGTTTTCGGCAGACACAACATCTTTGTTTGTATGTGGTGCTGAGGATCGAACCCGGCCACCGCACGCATGCCAGGCGAGCGTGCTATTGCTTGAGCCACATCCCCAGCCCACCCCCAGCCCTTTTTATTGTATTTTTAAAATTTTGAGACAGGGTCTTGCTGTGTTGTTTAGTTGCTGAGGCTGGTCACAGACCTGCAATTCTCCTGCCTCAGCCTCTTAAATTGCTGGGATTATAGGAGTGAGCCACCTGGCTTGACTTATAGAGATGTTTGAGTAGAACAGGATAAATGGAATCAGCTATAGAGAGTAGTAGTGGGGGGCGGGGGGAGGAAGAAGAAAGTTTGAGATTTTAAGGGCTCAAGTTAGAATCTGTGGTAAAAGGAGCTAGACAATAATCACTAAATTAAACCTGAGATTTGAACCTTCTTCAAAAGTTATATTTCCCCTTTAAAGCACTTTAATTTAATCTTTATTTCTTGAACATGTTTAAAATGTTTTACTAGAATATATGTTTGAAAATATACAAGATTAAGGGTTAGTTAATTAGCTTATTTTCTTTCTTATCACTTACTGTTCTTTTTCTTCTTTTCCAGAATTTTATAGAAGTGAAGTGATTAAGAATTCCTTGGTAAGTTTGCTTTCGGACAGGTACATATGATTAAGCCTATATAACCCCTCCCTCAGAAAACATAGAGATGTAAAATAAGTTGAGGCTCAGTTCTCATATTATGATACTTTGGCAAATCTTTAATTGATTATTATTAAATTCACTTATTTGTTCCTCACTTTTATCTTGTTAAGAAAAATGCCTGGCACATAGTAGGTGCTTGATAAATATTTACTCACTAAATTAATTTTTTTTCTATTGGAAACTTTGTTAAAAACTCAAATTCTTTTTCTGAAACTTTCACTTATTATAAAGAGTGTTTTTATTATTTGACTTGCCAAACATAATAAATGTTATCTTTGTTTAGTATGGTTTTTAAGAGTATTTTGCATAGGGTCTTTGTATAAGGTATATTGTTTCTTGGCTGTGGCATTGCTCAGTTACAAAGTTGGAGGTGACCTATGTTTGATAATGTATATGCTGGATATTTGCATAAATGCTTCATTTATTACACTGTATTGAAAAAAAAAGAAGAGCTTTTTGATAATGAAAATATCCTTTTAGGGCTAGGTGAAGTGATGCATGCCTGTAATTCCAGCAACTCAGGAGGCTTAGGCAGGAGGTTCAAAAATTTGATGCTAAGTCTCAGCAACTTAGTGAGACCCTGTCTTAAAATAGAAAGAACTGGAGATGTACTTCAATGATAAAGTGTCCCTGAGTTCAATCCCTAGTACCAGGGGGAAAAACAAAAGTAGAGAAAGAAAAAAGAAAACATCTTTTTAGAGGTCTAAGCCCATACTGGGTTTGGCTCATGTTTACTTTCTCAGTCTCGTCTCCGAACACTCTTTTCACTTATTGTGTTCAAGCCTGCCTTCTTTCAGTGCTTCACACATGCCTCACCTGTTGTTCCTTATACACTTGTTTCCTCAGCTCTTTGCTTGACTGAAGAGGTCTTTGAGGTTTCAGCAAGGCCTGTGACCATTTCCTTCTTTACTCTAGTCACTTTATTTTTCATATCACCCTGTTTTTTTTGTAGCATTTATCACTATTGCTCACTTATTTGAGTTTATTAACTGCCTTTCACCTACTACAACGTAAGTTCCATTTGTTCAAGATCTTGCCAGTCTTGTTCATGACTGTAACCCTGGAGTCTAAAATAGATGCTTAACTGCTTGTTAAATGAATAAATGCATATCAGTGATGCATTGTATTTATAGAATCCTTGTACATATGTTACTCCATTTTCATCTTTAGAACAGCCTGTCGGGCAGATGGGACAAATCTTAAGAAATCAATAGCCAGAGAGGCCCAGTGACTTTAGCAGAGACACACAACTTCAGGACCAGAACCCCAATCCAGACTACTGTCTTTAGGACTCTATTGCTCTTTGTTCCTCCTCAAGCTGTCTCCTAAATGTCTCTAAGATATCATAACAGATTTGGATCCTAGGACAGAGAGGTTCCTTGAGCCTGTCTCTGGAGAAGTCTGAAGCTCTGGTTCTATAAATGTTAAATGACATATGATAAATGCCTCTTGCCATGCTTAACGTAGAATAAATTATTAATTTTTCCTGTCTTGGCTCAGGTGGATAGAGATAGTTTTGCAGTGGAGACCTAGGGGTGATTCAGGCCCAGATAGGGTAGAATTTTGCTTTGTTGATTTCTTCTATACCTTTTCCCATGGCCAGACATTTCTGTAGTTGGGAGTGGCTTACAGTAGCCCATGGCTTTTTCTCCTGGATTTGTGTCATAATTGATCCTATACCAAGTGGTATGTTGGTATATTGTTCTACCTCATTAGTATTATATTTATTTGATATTCATTTGATTTCCAAATTCTTGTTTCTAAACATCATCTCTCTGATTGTTAACTTCTATCTTGAGCTCCTTTTGGTTTCTATATTCAATTGCTTTGAAACTGTCTTTGAAGTTGTGACAACTGCCTTCCTGGTACATGTAGCCTGAATACTTGAAGGATATTATAGAATGGATCCAAGACAAAGGAGTGAATCAGACTAAGAGTCCCTTTCATCTCAGTTTGTTGTGAATAGTAATTGTTTCCTGAGTATAGTCTTTATAACATTTGCTTGCATTGTAATTGTTTATGAGCATTCTCCCAAAGTAGGTGAAAGCTTCTGGAGGTCCAAGCCTGCCATTGTTTGTCCCGTGTTCCCAGTGTACTTATTCTGTTGGGTAGTTTGTTCAATAAATGTTGGTTTGTTGATATTTATTTTAAGGGTACTCTTTGGAATTATATTTTTGGCCAAGACTCTTGTTTGCTTTTATATCTTAATATAGGTTCAGTACATTTTATTTTTTTGGGCTGTGGCTGTGGCTTAGTGGTAGAGCACTTGCCTAGCAAGTGTGAGGCACTGAGTTCAATTCTCAGCACCACATATAAATAAATGAGTAAAATAAAAGTCCATCAACATCTAAAAAATTTTTACAAAATTTTTATTTTTTCTTTCTGAAGGAATTCTTCTTTCTTACTTTTCTTCTAAATTGTTGTGATTGGTTCAGTTTAATGGGCATTGAATCCTACAGTAGTCAACAATACTCAAGATAAGCCAGGGACAGTACATTGTTCCCTTCCACTCCATTTCTTTCCTGTTTAGGATTTTTTTGGGGAGCGGGGTGGTACTAGGAATTTAACTCAGGGGCACTTGACCACTGAGCCACATCCCCAGCCCTATTTATTTTTTTTAATTTATTTTTTAGTTTTAGTTGGACACAGTACCTTTATTTATTTTTATATGGTGCTGAGGATCGAACCCAGGGCCTTGTACGTGCTAGGCGAGTGCTACACCACTGAGCCACAACCCCAGCCCTATTTTTTGTATTTTATTTAGAGACAGAGTCTCACTGAATTGCTTAGTGCCTCGCTTTTTGCTAAGGCTGGCTTTGAACTCCTGATCCTCCTGTCTCAGCCTCCCGAGCTGCTGAGATTATAGGCCTGCACCATCACACCTGGCCCTGTTTAGGATTTTTTAAATCTTCAGCTATTGTGATACTTGCTGGGTAGAGTTAGTGGTTTCAATGCTTTTATCTCTGATGATTACTATTGTACTTGGCATTTAGAAGATGCATAGCAAACGTTTCTTGAATAAAATAATTCTTCCAAAGTACAAATTTATTGACTCACCCCTATGTATTAATATCCTAAAACCTCACATCCTCAATTAAGTATCATAAGATTACGTGAAGAGTTTAATACTTTATTTCTAGAAAGACATAGGTAAACTTAGTTGGACACTGATGAACTTATAAGTATTCTTTTTCACTCGTGTAACTTTTAGACTTTTTCCCTAGGTTTATATCCTGAGCTTGATTCTCAACCAGAGTAGCTTGTTTTGCCACTCTGATGTCAAAGGAAACATGGAAAAATGAACTCGAAAGTATTAAAAGTAATTAATAAGAGTATTTTCTCTCAAAGTTTGTATAAACTGTCCCTATTCTGGGCCCCTTTTAAACTCTTAAGTGCTCCAGATTATCATTATCCAAGAAAACTTTCTACAATGATGGTAATGTTCAGTGTACCACTGAGTACAGTTGGCACTTAACCATGTGTGGCCATTGAACACTTGAAATGTGGTTGAGTCTTACTCTGGAACTGAATTTTAAAGTTTATTTGAGTTAAATAGCCATATGTTGCCCTTAGCTACTATATTAGACAACACAATTCGAGATGCTTTTGAAAGCTTTATTATAATTCTTAGCAGAAAGAAATCCCCCCCTTTTTAAAGTACTTTTTACTTTTCTTGAACTACTGGTATCATTCTAAATCCATATAATAACTGCATGTTTGTTTTTGCTTATTTTATATATAATAATCTTCATAAAAGCAAGGACCTTGTATGCTTCATTTTTATAATTCCCATAGTCATTGTATTATGCTTTCCTTAGACTTTGCAAACAAGAAAATATGTATAATGTACTGTGTGTGCATGTGTGTATGTGTAGTATGTTTTATACACACACACACACATATATATATATATAAAACATACACACATACACACACACACACACAAAATAATGGTGAGCTTTTACAATTGGCAAGAAGGTTTTAGATACACGTACACTTATATATTTATGTATATATATATATGTATATTGTGTGTGTGTGTATACAAATTGTAAATCTCACCATTATTTTATGTTCAACAACAATAAAAAGAAATTAAATAAATGAACAAACACTTGTCATTAAACTGAAGCACATGGCCTGGGTCATGGTCTTGTCAGGTTTGTGATTAACTTTTGTAACCTCTTATTTGGATTTTTTTCCATCTCTTTTGATGTTTAACAGTCTTTTCTTCCTTCAGTTGCATTGCTTGACTTGTGTTAGGGAATCCTTTATTTGTATGTCAGCAATAAAATATAAATTAATTTCCTCAGCTTGTGGGAATTTCTTTAAGTCTCATAAGGAAGTTGGATGAAGTTCTTTCTTCATTGATAAATAGTTGCTTCTCAAATATTAAATTAATGTCTCTCATCTCTCATTTCTGTAGTTCATTGCCTAAATAAAAACTTAATATTTTAAATTGATTCTTAACACACATGTATAAGGGTTTATAGATCGTAAGTATAATAATGATGAAATTTTTCAAATGGAATACACCGAATAATCAGCATCCAGATCAAAAAAATAGAATATTTCATTACCGCAGAAGCTTCCCCATCTCTTTTCACTTACTATTCCTCTTTTGATTTTTAATACCATATACTAATTTTGTCATATATATTCTTTGCTGTCTGACTTCTATATTTCAACTTGATATTGTAAGATTAATTCATATCGTACAATGTATTTGATTTGTATTGTATAGTGTTCCATTGTGTGAATATAACAGAGGATCCATTTTTCTGTTGAAAAGACATTTGGTTAGTTTCTGGTTTTGAGCTAATACGAAGAGTGCTCCACTATACATGTTCTCCTATGTCTTTAGGTGGATGTACGTATGCATTACTGTTCAGTATGTATCTAGAAGTAGAATTTCTGAGAATATGCATATGATTAGC